GGAAAGGGAGAGAGATGGGCAGTAAAGATACTATTCTGAAACGTGGCGGGGATTAGGAGCATAGAGGAAGACGACTGGGAATTTGTTAGGGAATTCGATATAATAGAGCTAACCGAAACCTGGGTGTAGACGCAAGGGGCAAAAACAGGAGTAACATAGAGTGGAGAGACTCAAGAAGGGAAGGAAGAAGGGGGAGAGAAATAGGGGGAGGAATAATCGCGGTAAGAGAGAGGAAAGGGATGAGTAAGGTTGAATGGAAGAAAGAAAGAACAAGTGAAGTAACAGCAGAAGGAATAAAGATCGGAGGGAGGAAATACATGAGAGCAACGGTGTATGAGAAAAAGGAAAACTATGAATACCTAAGCAAAGAAATATAGGAGAACAGAGCAAAAGCAATAATTATAGGAGGAGACTTCAACGCAAGAACACGTAATGAAGGGAAAGAATGGGAGGCAGAAGAAAACCTAGAAGAAATAAAGACCAAGGATAAAGTGTTAAACGCAGAGGGAGAATAAATGATAAAATGGTTAAAAGAAATGGGTTTAGTGATAACGAATGGGAGAAAAGAAGGAGATGTAGAGGGAGAAATAACATATATAGGAGCGAGAGGAATGACAACGATAGATTACGTACTGAGGCAATAAAAAGGGTTTAAATAAAAGAGAGGGTAAAGTCGGACCACTTACCAGCAGAAGTGGAATTGGCAGACAAAATAGCAGAAGAAAGAAAAGAAGAGGAAGAAAGAATGGTAGACGACTGGAGCGAAAGAAGGTATAACAGAGTATCAAAATGGACAGATGCAATAGGGGGAACAGAAAAATGGAAAGATATAAAAAATAGATTGAGGAACGCAGTCGTAAAAAAGAAGATAAAGGAAAAAAAGGATCAAAAAAAAGCTGGTGACAAGAAGAATGTAGGATAAAAAGTGCTAGGGTGATGGCAGACTTAAATAAGGTAAGAAAAGGGAAAGGAGACAGAGGCAAATACTTTGAAGCAAAGAGAGAATACAGAGAGGAAATAAGAAAAGCGAAAGAAGATGAGGGAAAAAGAGAGGCAGAAGGAATAAGAAAAGATAAGACGAGAAGGGAAAAAGGAGGAAAACTATACGTATTCTCTGCCGAGAGAAAGGGATAAATCAGAAAATCAGGAAAAGAATAGAAGAAATATCTAAGAAAACAAGGAGTAAGGTAAAAGTTGGAGTAGAAATAACTGGAGAGTTTGAGACTTACAAGGGCGTAAGGCAAGGGTACCCATTGACCACCTTGCTATTTAATTTTGCCTTCGCCGACCTGGAAATCAAGATCAAAGAGGTGCAAGAAGCAGGGGTAGTGATAGGATGGAAGAAAATATGGACATTAGCATATGCAGATGATATAGTGATGATGGCAAAAAGTGAAAGTGAAATAAAAACGATGCTGAAAAAATTAAAAAGATACCTGGAAGAAAGGGGATTAGAGCTAAATGTAGGAAAATCAAAGATGATGAAATGCAAGAGAGGAGGAGGAAGGGGGAAGGAAGAAGAATTCGAATGGAAAGGTGAGAAGATAGAGATGGTTAAAGAGTACAACTACTTGTGATATATGATAAGCAAAAATAATGGACATAAAAAACAGATAAAGAAGGTTTAAGGGAAAATAAATATGGGATTCGAAAGACTATGTGGGCTAGGAGAAAAGCTATTTAGAGATAAGTGGTAGATAAGGATTAACCTGTTCGACGAACTGGCGAGAAGCGTGATTATGTATGGAGCAGAAATCTGGGGATGGAAGAGATATGAAGAAATAGAGAGATCACAACTAAAATACATAAAGTAGTTATTGGGATTAGATAGAAACACGCCAAGTTACTTAATACGATGGCTGTTTGGCGGAAATGACGATGGAGAACACTTCATTAAATTTGGCTAAGGAAAGGAGGGCGCTCTCTACGCCTTTTTCCTGCTGAACGCGCTTCGCCTCTGTCCACGCACTGTTCCTCTTTTGTTTTATTTTGTTGTTTTAGTTTATGAAAAAAGCCGAAACTGCGTCAGTTCTCTTTTACTCTTCGTCGACTACAAAACGACATTACTTCTTTATTTAATTATTAAAGTAAACTCTCAATTGACCCTGAGCTTTATTTTCATTACCTTCCGATCCATTTGGTCCTTCGAGCCGGATTTTCCAGCGAAAAGAAGACGAATTCAGGGTGAGTTGAAGGTGGTGCGAATTATAACGGACGGGTTATGTGCGATGCGGGCGCGACTCCTTGACGGATAAAGGGTGAACGGGACTGGGTCAGCCGCGGAAGCTGGTGTTTAGGCTGCAGCCTCGAACGATCGCTGGGATTCGTGAGAGCTCAGCTTCATTGTAAATGACGGGCGTCGACGGCGGGCGGCCGCCGCCGATGATGGCATCATCTCCGATCGGCGGGCGTGACAGCATGCGATCGCTGCAGACGAATACTCGGACGCTCAGCAAGTCGCACTGCACCAGGACCTGTCTGGTGATAAGCGGGCAGTGTAGCAGAGCAGCTCATCACACTCCACCCGCCACAACGATAGGACCATTTGAGCCTCCTATCTCACAGGTCGCTTCCAGTCCAATGAAGAGGTGCTGGGCCAAGAGGAACTTCTCGCTTTCACTGGCTCGCAGAACCTCCTGCAGCGACGGTCGGCACGACAGAGCAAGCAATACTATGCAAATGACGAGACTCCGCGAACGGCGAGGCGCCGCAAGCGGCTGAATTATTTTGCAGGCAGGTCGTTAAGTGCGCGACAAGCCGTCGGACCGCCGAACCGAGCTTTCTTTGTCGACCACACCTAAAACTCAGGGTTGAATTCGTTCGGCTTAGTGCTCTAGCAGCTTGAGCCGAGAGGTCGGTATCAAGTTTCAGCTGGCTGACCGAGTGAATTGACCCAACCACGGCTCCCACACTGAATTTTAATCGCATCTCGGCAGATGGAGCTTGCAGACATCCAACAAGAGTTGAAGAGGGCCATCCAGCGGACTGCGGAAAAGGTTGCTAGCACGCCCACAACAAATTGGACACTCGGATCCATCGAGTCAAGACTTGAGCTCCTGGACGGTTATTGGCGAGACCTCCACCGCAATCATGGACAACTTCTCACCCTCGGCGATGCGTCAGCCGTAGACTATCGGTTGAGCGACACCTTTGCATCGGCAGAAGAGCTTTACGTGGAAAGCCGCGGCGTCTTGCTGGATCATCAAGTTCGCTGCACGATATCCGAGGACCGCACGTCAACACCAGGCGCATTCATCACCGCGGCAGACCACGACACGGATTTTCCTCTTTCGAAGCTGCCTCGCCTGGAACTGCCCACTTTCAGCGGAAAGCCAGAAGAATGGGAAGCCTTTCGAGATTTTTTCGTTGACCTGGTCCACGACAACGCTACACTAGGAGAGGCGACGAAGATAAATTACCTCAAAACGAATGTCAAGGGGGCAGCCGAGGAGGCACTGCGAAGTTTTCGTTCCATCGCAATCAACTACAAGCAGGCGTGGGAAGCACTCTGCCGACGCTACGACCAGCCGAAGTTACGAGTGAGGGACCACTTAGCCGCGCTTGTGAATCTGAGGCCCCTCATAGAAGAAACACCCGAAGGACTACAGACCCTCATGGACGAATTGAATAGATGCCGCACTCAACTCGAACGACTGAATCAACCTGTCCAAACGTGGGATGTCTGGTTTGTCTTCATGGGTGTACGCGCCCTTGACCCGGTCACGAAGAGAGCTTGGGAGGAAGAGCCTGAGCCCAGCATGCCGTTCGACACCTCATCGATGATCGGAGAGGCTTCGTTTCGCCAATTCACGGAGTTCCTGCAGCGACGATACTGCACTCTGCGCGCTCTCGGTCAGGTGGCCACCGCCCCCTCAATCGACTACATGAGCGGCCGAAGGAAAACGGCTCAACCCATAGTTCCAAGGACTATACGAACCCATGCCACGGGTACGGTTCGCACTAGAGGAGGGTGCCCAGCTTGCAAGGAGGCACATTATGTCGGCCACTGTATAACCTTCCGGGGACTCGAGCCAGAAGAGCGACGGAAGCTTGTGGCCGCACGAGGCCTCTGTTACAACTGCCTTAGTAGTAGTCACACTGCCAGAAACTGCCCTTCCAACAATACTTGTCGGAGTTGCGCCGGTGACCACCACACTTTAATCCACGAGAGCGCTGGAAGAGTACAACGCCAGACAAACGAAGAGTCACAACCAACCTCACCTCGTGATGTTCGACCAGCAACACTCCAGGCTGCTGCGACCAGCGCAAAATCAACTGGAGAGGACGGGACAGCATGACTAGTCGTACTCCCCACGGCCATCGTCTCTTCAAGCAGTGGCGGAGACCGTAAGGATGCGGCAAGGGCACTGCTTGACCCATGCTCGGAAGCGACCATCATAAGCCTCGACTTCGCTCGCAGACTGGGCTGCCAACTGCGCCGTACCAACGTGGGAGTGACCGGAGTGACTGGGCCTGCCATGGACTCAGCCAAATTTCAAGCAGTAATTTATATCGCAGACGTCGGCCGACGTTCACCCATCCGGGCAGAGGCCGTTGTTCTTCGGACAATCGGCATTGTTACGCCGTCAGGGATTCCCGGCTCTGAGGTGTCCAACCTCCGTCGCCGACTACTACTAGCTAATCCTACCTTTGATCAGCCCGGGGGGATCGACATCGTTATCGGAGCGGACGTTTACCATCGTTTCATTCTAGCGGGCACTCGGAGAATTGGTTCCTTGTTGGCCCAGAATACGACATTCGGCTGGATCTTGACAGGATCCACTGCGATTTTAGAGTCATCAACGAGTCACACCACTCGAGCTCTCGCCACCGCAGTACATGTGTGCGACGAAGGAAGTCACGAGAAGCTTCTAGCACTAGTGCAACGTTTTTGGGCTCTCGAGGAAGTTCCGTCGGTCCGACGAATCTCAGCTGCCGACCGTGAATGTGAGGCACTTTTCACTCAAGGAGTCCGACGAACATCTGACGGACGATACACTATGAGACTCCCTCTGAAGTCGGAGAAGAAGGCCCTCCTAGGAAGCAGTCTACCCCACGCGCGCTCAGCTCTCGTTTCTATGCAGCGACGAATGCGCTCTGACCTCGTTTTACGCGACAGTTACTGCCAGTTCATGGAGGAGTATGAGCAGTTAGATCATATGAGAGCACTGACCGCCGAGGAAATTCGAGAGGACTCAGGAACAGTATTCTACATCCCACACCACGGCATCTGGCAGCGTAGCGACAGAAAAAACAAACTAAGAGTAGTTTTTAATGCCTCTCGCGACACCTCTACAGGTCTCAGTCTCAATGACTCACTCCATTCGGGCCCAAAGTTCCAAGGACATATAGCGACGATCATCACACGCTGGCGAAGACACCGATATGTTTTTTGTGCAGATGTTCAAAAAATGTTTCGACAGATCTTAATGGATAAGAGAGACTGTCATCTTCAGCGTATCGTCTGGAGCCCATCATCCGACTTGCCAGCTAAACATTTCGTTCTCAGGACTGTCACCTACGGCACGGCTTGCGCCCCCTATCTCGCACTTCGCACCCTGCAGCAACTCGGCGAGAACGAAGGACATCGGTTTCCACTGGCCCGCGAATTACTTAAGAGAGACCTTTACATGGATGATTTTTTGAGTGGTAGCCATGACCTCGAGACAGCAAGGAGCCTTAGAGATCAGCTTATCGGTCTGCTTAGGGCGGGCGGCTTTCATCTACGCAAGTGGGTGGCCAACGAGCCTGGACTGCTTGAAGACATACCCGCTGAGGACCGCTTACGGGCAGACTGGGTTCAACTCTCTACCGATGGACCAGTGTGCGAATTAGGCGTCATTTGGGATCCAGTGACGGATCGTTTCAAGTTTCGCCCTGGAGTCGTTGATCCGCCTCCAAGTCTTACCAAGAGAACTGCTCTGGCAGAGCACGCTGCCTTTTTTGACCCAGCAGGTTGGTTGACCCCGCTGACTCTCGTGGCCAAGATACATAATATATTACGCCATAATAGATTACGCCATAATACAAGATCTTTGGAGATCGAAATTCGATTGGGACGAGAAACTCGTGATATTGCTGCTGTCGTTTACGTCAGAGCCACCCACAGTGATGGCAAAATCACTACCACCATCCTAGAAGCGAAGTCAAAGCTGGCTCCAGTCAAGAGTCTGCTCCCTACCACAGAGAGACGAGCGCGGATGACCATTCCGAGACTCGAGCTTCGCGCCACCTTGATCGCTGCGATGCTGCTGAAGAACGCCGCCAGCGCACTGTCAGTGCCGCCAATGAGCTGCCATCTCTGGAGTGACTCGCAAGTTGCTCTTCATTGGCTCCGGTCGGACGAGCCCGTGGGACATGACATCATCGACAATTATGTGTCTCACGTGCAGGAGATTTCCACGGGCGTCACGTTTCATCACGTCCCCACTAGCTGTACCCCAGCCGACGTCGCATCGCGCGGCACAGACTCCACTAAACTCGCACTGCACCCAATCTGGTGGCATGGCCCAGACTGGTTGACACAACCAGCAAGCGAGTGGCCACTCGAGGTCAACGACACCGACCGCCTGGAGTGCCAGCATGGCAGTCACGTGTCTTGTGCAACGGTGCAGATTGAGGACGAGTCACTGCATTCTGAGAAGAGTCACATCGATCGATTCTCCACGCTCGACGGCCTATTACGAGCTACCACGCGTATCATTCGACTTCTGAGACGGCGAGAGACTGCATTACCAATGTCACCGATCACAGCAGCCGAGTTCCGCCAGGCTTTCATCGCTTGCGCCAGGATTACTCAACGTCACGTCTTCTCCGAGGAGCTCGCTCAGCTGAGCCGAGGCTACCAACTGAAGAGCTGCAGTCAGACGAAAACTCTCGAGCCATTCCTTGACAACGACGGAGTAATTCGAGTAGGCGGCCGACTTGACCGCTCCTCATTGCCGTACGACGAGCGGCACCCAATCCTTCTTCCAGGACCAGCGCACCTCGCCCAGTTAGTCATCCGGTGGGCACACGAACGCAGTCTTCACGGCGGTTTCAGGGCCACCTACGCTCGAGCCCTGCAAAAGGCATGGATTACCGGGGCGAAGGTGAGAATCAAGCGATACTTCCGCCACTGCACTGTTTGCGCTCGCCATGCGGCGAGGATCTCGCCCCCTCGCATGGCTTCTCTCCCGCCGGCCCGAGTGTCGCCAGCCAGGCCATTCTCAACTTGTGGAGTCGACTACGCCGGGCCCTTTCATCTTTGTCGCAACAAGACGAGGCGCGTCCACAGTAAAAGGCTACGTCGCGCTCTTCGTCTGCGTCTGCACTAAGGCCATCCACCTTGAGCTCGTCGGAGACCTCACCACAGCCAGTTTTCTTGGTGCTCTGCAGAGATTTATAGGTCGGAGAGGTCGGCCGGCTGAAATCTGGAGCGACAATGGCACCAATTTCCGCGGGGCCGCCCTTGAGCTCCGCAGACTCCTCAGAGAAGCCGAGATTGATTGGAGAGTTGTCGAAGGAACACTGGCAAAGGAAGGTATCAACTGGCGTTTCATTCCCCCTTTAGCCCCCTATTTCGGTGGGCTTTAGGAGGCGGGGGTGAAGTCGATGAAGCGGCACCTCCAGCGAGTTGCTTCACCTCGACGTCTCACCTACGAAGAGTTCGCCACGCTCCTCGTAGCAGTTAAAGCCACTCTCAACAGCCGTCCTCTTGTTCTACCATCAGGCGATCTAGGTGACCTTGACGCACTCACACCCAGTCATTTTTTAATCGGGACTTCTGCCACGTCTTATCCCGAGCCTATCTCTGTCAACGGAAAATTGGATCAAGTCAGTCACTGGGCGCTCATTCAAGCCATGAGAGGACATTTCTGGTCCCGTTGGAGCCGAGAGTATTTAAATACCCTCATCCAGCGGCCCAAGTGGAGGAAGCCTCAGCCTAATCTACAGGTCGGGGATTTTGTCGTTATCGCAGATCCCTCATTACTTTGTCCAGATGGCCGCTGGCCACTTGGTAGGATCACTGCTGTACACCCGGGGCCAGACGGTACGGTTCGTACCGCCACCATCACCACAGCTTCAGGAGAGTACGTCCGACCCGTCGTCAAGATCGCCAGACTGCCCATTCCGAATACAGAAGGCCAGCTCAGCAAAGGAAGCGATTCTTTTTAGCGTCATTCACAGAATGAGGCGGGCGGGATGTTTGGCGGAAATGACGATGGAGAACACTTCATTAAATTTGGCTAAGGAAAGGAGGGCGCTCTCTACGCCTTTTACCTGCTGAACGCGCTTCGCCTCTGTCCGCGCACTGTTCCTCTTTTGTTTTGTTTTGTTGTTTTAGTTTATGAAAAAAGCCGAAACTGCGTCAGTTCTCTTTTACTCTTTGTCGACTACAAAACGACATTACTTCTTTATTTAATTATTAAAGTAAACTCTCAATTGACCCTGAGCTTTATTTTCATTACCTTCCGATCCAATGGCAAACAGGAAAACAAGAAATGAAAAAGTATAGATTAAAGGAAATTCAAGGAGAGGGAAGAATAAAAGGCATACAAATAAGGGAAAGGTTTAGGCTAGGCAATGAAACGAGAGGAAGCAGGAATTGGGAAAAAGAAGAAAATAAGAGACGCAGAATGTGTATGAAAGAGGAAGAAAATTGGAAGCTCATAGAAAAATGTGAAAAAAGCAAAAAGGAAGGGGAAGAATGGGAAAATATAATAATAGGAAGCAAAGAAAAGATAGCGTGGATGATGGAGCTAAAATGGAAAAAAAAAGAAACAAAGAGGAGAAAGAAAAAGAAAAATAAGAATACGAAATTACAAGACCCTAAGGATAGATGGGAACAGAAGACAGAGATACAAGACTCGAGAAGAGAAAACTCGCCTATACATCTACTTACGTGCACATATACACAAAGCACGCACACACACGCAAACATACACATGCACACACACACACAGACAAACAAAACACACGTACTAGCAATTATACAAGCGAGAGGAAGCAGGTATTGGATGATGGAGCAAAAATGGAAAAGAAGAAGAAACAAAGAAGAGAAAGAAAAAGAAAAACAAGAAGACAAAATTATAAGACACTAAGGAAAATAAGTGAGGCTGAGGAAACGAAAGGCAGAGGGAGCAATAGGCAATGAGAAAAAAGTGTCAAAGCCCTACTAAGAAGAAAGACAGGTGAGATGATTAGCAAGAAAGAGAGCAAAAGTAAAAGAAAGACAAAGGTGAAAAGGCAAAAGAAAGTAGCAAAGGAAGAAGTCGAAAGGAAAATAAGCAAGAAAGAGAAAAACAGAGGAGTGGAAAAGGTAGATCTCGGAGAGAGAGAGAAGAAGAGAAGATTAAGCAACTGAAAAATGGGAAGAAAGGCTAAACAGACAGGCGTAGAAGACAGAGACACAAGATTTGCAGATACACCTACCCACGCATACATATACATAAAACACACACACACACGTAAATACGAGGTGTGTTCAAAAAGTAAGGTGACTTTGTATTTTTAAGAAAAAATATTTATTTATTTATCAATATTTATGTTGTCCCCTTTAAAGTAATCCCCCTCAGATACAATACACTTATGCCAACGGTTTTTCCAATCCTCAAAGCACTGCTCATAAGCACTTTTCGGTATAGCCTTGAGCTCTTCCAGCGATGCAGTCTTTATCTCTTCAATCGTTGCGAATCTCCGTCCTTTCATAGGTCTCTAGTTTTGGGAACAAGAAAAAGTCACATGGGGCCAAATCCGGTGATTATGGTGTTGTTTTTGCCAAAAAATCTCTCACAAGCAAAGATGAGTGAGCAGGGGCATTATCATGATGCAAAAGCCATAAGTTTTTCCACAATTCTGGGCGTTTTCTTCGTATTGCTTCTCGCAAACAGCGCATAACTTCAAGATAATACTGTTTATTAACCGTATGTCCATATGGTAAGAACTCCTGATGCACCACGCCATGGTAATCGAAGAAAACAGTGAGCAAAACTTTGACATTTGATCGAACTTGGCGTGCTTTTTTCGGTCTTGACTCATCTGGGCTCTTCCATCGGGACGATTGGACTTTGGTTTTGATATCATAACCATATACCCATGATTCATCACCAGTTATAACCCTTTTGAGTAAATTTGGGTCGTCGTTGACGTCATTCAACAGTTCTTGAGCGATGCTCATGTTACGGTTGTTTTGGTCATAATTTAGCAATTTCGGAACAAACTTCGCTAACACACGTCTCATGCCCAAAACGTTAGAAAAAATTTCATGGCACGAGCCAAGCGATATACCAACATCCTCAGCAACTTCTCTGATAGTGATTCGACGATTTTCCAGAACAATTTTCTTCACTGCTTGAACGTTTTCATCAGTTGTTGACGTGCTTGGGCGTCCAGAGCGAGGCTCGTCATTGGCATCTTCCCGGCCATCTTGGAAGAGTTTGTACCACTTGTAAACATTTTTTTTACTCAGAACAGTTTCACCGTATGCCACCGTCAACATTTCAAGTATTTCGGAGCACTTTATTTTATTTTTTACACAAAATTTGATGCAAATCCTTTGATCCATATTTTTCGATAGCAAGAAATCGCCGAGCACGCAAAACACTTATAACCTTTACGCCTCTCACAACCAAACAAAAAATGCTATACACTTGAAACTTGGTACAGGTGTTCGGGAAGAGTGTACCAACATAACAAAAAAACAAAAAATCGATAAGCGAAAGTACGTTGCCCGTGAAATTTGAAAAGTCACCTTACTTTTTGAACACACCTCGTTCACATGTATAGCAATGAACTAACTATATTAGACGACACACAAAACACATACATTAGTAACTACACAAACTGGACACGAGACACAAATAGCGAAGTAGGAAATGTAAACCAAAATGTAACATAAGTTGTAAACAAAAAATATATATATATATTTTTTAACTCTTCTGCGAACTATTTCGATGTCTCAGGCCCGCAATAAGAATTATATCTCGGTAAACTGTCATCATAACACATTTCAAGTAGTAACCTATGCTAAACATTTTGTGGTGTTGAATGGTAATGGTATTTTTAAGAACATCTTGCTCATCAACTTTTGGTTTTTCTAATAGGTATTCACAGTCTCCATAGATAATAAATGGTGATTTTAATCTGAATCCGTAGTTCTTGAATTTAATCATATCTTGACTTATTCTTGGCATCTGCACACTACACTTATTTATTTGTTTACAGTTCCTTTCATGTGCAACGAGTTTTTCTAAGGTGTTAAAATAATGCAAACACTTATCAGAAATAAATTTTATAATTTTGCAGAGCGATAAACTGCTTTCTACTAATCTTGCAAGGTCTTTTATATAAATATAATGATAATTATTTGATATTTCATCATTTATCAATAAAATATTGACATGATTTAATTTTTTATCATCTGTATGATGAAGAGGAACGATTGTTTACTCTCTGAACCAAACACATTGATTGATATGCTGTTTTGTTTTTTAGATTTTGAAATTTGATTCAAAGAAACTGGACATGATATACCATTCAAATGGAGTTTATTCTCGTGCGATATGTAATAACTTACTCTTACAATTAGAGGATGATTTGTATATTCAATTTTGCATAAAGCTGCTAAAATTGGCGATATAAAGCATTTCTTATCATTATTTTCTACATTTATATAGATAGCACTACATTTATATTCTATTTTTTTATATCTATTTTTATATACTATTCTACATTTATATACATAGCATGCTTGTATTTTTAAATTTTGGTAGAGATATATAATAACTTCCACTCCGCATTTGGATTTAATTTATTGATATTAATTTGAAAATTAATAATAGAATCCAAAGACCATCCTGACTCGTTACTTTCAAATTCCTCCACCTCGTTTAATAATGGACTTATAATATTATCATCAAACCATTTTTTGAGAGGATTTGAGGGATATACTTTAATATTTCGTGTAGTAAAATGCTTTCTGTCAAAAGACATTTCCAATTTATCTTGGTTACTTGAATATTTTCAAAATTTGCATGATAGTACAGCATTAAATTTACAAGCATTATTCACTCTTAAAATACTTTTGGCATGTCTTGCAAACAAATCGCAAGCATCTTTTAAGAATGATTCAATATCAATGTGTTGAATAATAGCTATAATACTAGTTTTCAAACGGTTTTCGAATGCGCTTTCCAAGTCCACCCATTGTATGCGAATTTTCATACTATGACCCAAACCTCTTCCGTGATTTCTACAATTTTCTAGTCTTAAATGAATACATTCAAGTTTAGTAATGGTACTGAGCAATGATTGTTTTTGTGGCACACTAAGCGATGATGACTGTTTCAAAAATTTTTTCAAAATTCGCAAAGATAAGACACATTGTTTTTTTCATCGTTCTATAATTATTTCATGACGTAGATTTATAGAAATAAAAGATTTACAGCATTTTCAATAACGGAAGTATTGCAATAAGTTTTGTAAAATTTCCATTTTCGTTTTTTAGCATAGATATTGACTGTTGCAGGTATCAATCATGAATGAATTGATATCGACGCCAACTATTTTATATATAATGTTACCAATCTTCTTCACCGCATGTACTACAGGTATCTCAAGTTTCTATCTCTGATGAGTATAGTGAATACATAATTTCTTCAGGCTCTTTATTTTGAATATAATCATCATATACTCTATTGATTACTTCATTATCATTGCTCAGCATTTCTATGTCGGATAGAGCTTCTTCTTTCATCTCCAGAGGCAACTCTATTAAAGTTCTTGCAGTTGGAATGATGAATTTATTGATGTCTTGAGCGTGTTTTGGATAACACATTTAGAGTTTCGAAATTTTTTGATAGATGACAAGAGAATGATCACATTCGTGAAGAAAATCTCATTTATATACATATTTAAAAAGAGAGTGTGTACAACTTTAAGTTTGTGTGCAAGTGTTTTCTTTAATTCAGATGCAGTAATACTCGCAATGAAGCATCATGCCAGACTACCTGTAATTATTTTAAAGTCTTTTTAGCAATATCTTTTCTTACAAATCCATTTTTTGCAGATCTGAATAAGTTAGACTGCAAAGCTTTGACAACTGGCCATGCTCATATGTGTAGCTTAAAGATTTAGCAGCGGCCGGATTTTACTTTGTGAATGAAATTGACAAAGTC